CATGTATTGTGTTATATTATATTTCTGGAAAATTTAAGGAGTAGTTATATAATAATTTTGGACGATCTCGGGCGGTCGGATACTTATAACCGCTACTGTAAATGAATGAATGAATGAATGGATGAATGAATGAATGAATGAATGGATAAATTGATGAATGAATAAATAAATAAATAAATGAAAAATCATAACAAATAAAAGTACTGATCATCTATTACAGATGAATGTAAATTTATAGAAAAATGAGAATTTTGTCAGATTATGGGATTTTAAATCACGTGTTTGCAGATCTAATCATATGATTTAAAAATATTTTTAGTTCAATAAATCAAAGTTCACATGATTTATTTATCGCGATCTTTTTTAAAGGTTATCACGTTACGTTACAATACATTTTACATTCTTATTCTCATTGGTATATTTTTCTTGTTCATTTCGTTTAGCAAAATGTATGGAAGACGAAACACTCAAAAATGATATTTTTTTAAAAAAAAAATATGTTTCAACTAAAGTTGCAGGGCAAAATCCAAATTCCATTTTAACAAAAGTCAAAACCTTTCGACTTCAATGGGTTTTCAATGAGTCAACCATAAAATGTTTTTAAATTTTCAAAATTTTATGTCATCATCTTTCATTTAATTTAAACTCTAATTCAAGTAAATCATTTTTGTGGGTTTGTACTATCATTTTATTTATTATTTTATGAAACGAATTTATTTGATTTAAAATTATTTGATTTTAGGGATGAACATCAATGTCGTGGATTATGCGAAGAATCTGATATATGTAAGGTAGTAATTAACAAGTAAGGAGTTAATAAAGAATCTGAAAAAGAATCATTTACAAAGGTATAAATTAATAAGTAAAAGTTGGATTATTTTTTAATAAAGAAATATTAATATTTGAATGATGTTTTATTAACAAAATAGTTTGTTCAATCAAGTGAAGATCAAATGTATTAAAAAATTTTTTAAAATGAATTTAAGCATCCCGGAAAACATTATTATGATGAAGAAAATAGTTTTTATTTTTGTGACGCAAAGTATCAATTCTGCAAATGTTTTGTATATGTTATACAATTACCTTATAGATACACGCAACTTCATGATAACAAACATGAAAATAAAATACTAAATCAATTCAGTGATGACGAAGAATATGCAGGGTATATTATATTTAATCTTATTAGTAATATCAATAGATATATCTTTATTTATTTTTTTTGCCAAAACATTTTTCAATCATTAGATACAAATTAATTAATCAAGGAAAATTTGTCCCTTACAACTTGATATGTATATATATTTTTGATAAATGATATATATTTTTTTTTCTTCAAATATCTTATAATTTTTTTTCAATCTTAGTATTATAAAGATTTAGAAAGGCATCAACATGTTGATTATTATCAAAATGAAAAGGATTGTAAATCTGGACAGGATATTCAGCTTATTAATAAAAGTGGTATTTTAAATTTGTATTCAAGTTCTCTTCAGTACTATCGACTCTATTTTAACTATTTAATAAATTATAAAAAAAACTTATTAATGATCAACCGCTAGATTTTATTTCTCATAAGTTGTTCTGAAAACGTACAGGTTTTAAAGATATATATTAATTTCTTTTATCTTTATTTAATGTATATTTATTTAAATAATAATTTTTTTTTATTCCAAATCCTCATTCGGTTGAAGAACAATAAGAGTTTACAAAATGTGATCACAAATGTTACAATGAAAAACATTCTCAAGGATCTGACAAGCCATTTATTAGACTCTGATTAATTTGTGAGTTCTTGTATTTTCAGCCATCAAAATATACTCAAATATTGAAACTCAAATAATAAAATTATTAATTAGATTAATAATTGTAAAGGTAGAATAATCAGATAATATTTACACTTAATAATACGTCATCCAGTATCAAATCCAAAGCATTCACCACTCTTTTGTTTTCTTTTTTTAAGTTCTTTATCTTTGGATATACGGACTATAGAAAAATAATTCGCTTCAGTTTTTAAGTTTAATTTTTTTTCTATTTTTGCTCTGTGACGTGATTTTTTTTCTCTGATTTTTATTTATAATTATTCTTTATTTTTACTTTCAATTGGTTTTATTTTTTAGGTTCGATCAGAAAAAAAAAATGTTTATATAATTTTAAAGTAGGAGATGTTGAAAGAACAACTATCAGATATTTTGCTAATAAATTGAATAATGAACAGACGTATTCACAGGAATTCTTTAATCAAGTTCATTTCTGCCATAGGCATTTAATTGATTTTTACTATGGCAGCTTGGTAAAATATCGAAGAAACTAAAAATCAATGGTATGATATCACACATTTTATTATTAATCACATGTTATTCAAAAGGTGAACATTCAATACGCATAATATATGATTCATTGGCCAGTACGGATTATTCTGACAAGCATAAATTATTAATGGTAATCGCTGATAGTGATATAACTGGATCAGATAATGATAAAACAACTTCAGAGATATATGAAGATTTAATTGAACTATTCAATTATCTAGTTTTGAGTCTCAGATACTACAAGTTATATTTAGCCATAGGAGAAAGTAAAAAGCAACACAAATTATCAGATATATAATTGTAATGGACATCATGTTCCAATGTGTTTATTAATAAAGCTGGTATACCAGAAGAACGAAAAGGGCTTAAAGTCGATAATTGTGATAAATGAGATACACAGCTTATATTTAATGAAATGGCTTAGCAATATATTTTTTAACGAACGTATAACACCATTAGAATTTGAATTATATGAAAATTAACGGGAGCAACATCTTATAAATACGAGATGATACTTATGATTAGAGGATAGTTTTAGTAAGATATGTGGTATCGATGAAACTTGATCCAATGGTTATAGAACTTTGTGGAAAACGAAAATAGTGAATATGAAAACGAGTTAGAATATTATATATACTTTGCCATTATCTTAAAAAATCCTATGAATCAATATTTGGTGGAGAAACCTGTTTGTCAGAGTATTCTTGTATCGTATCAAGCACCTGGATATTGAGAACATTCCCAAAATGTAAAATGATTTATTACCAAAGATGATATATAAAACTATAGTACCAGATGAGTTTAAAGTATTATTGTCACAAAAAAAGAAAATGGATTACCTCTATAATACATAATTGATAGAATTAATTTTCGTATCACAACTTTGTAGTATATTCTGTTGTTTTATGTAATTTATTATATTTGGAATTAGTTGGAACGGTTGTATTACCACTTTACTAATATTTTTGGTTTATTTAATCATTACTAGTAGCTTTAGTATTGATGATACTTTCCCTTGATATTTATTGCTACTACTTTCCTTTTACAAGCAGTTTAGTCATCTTTACCAGTACCACTCACAAAGTTATTATATCATGTGGATAATTATATTTATTCAGCTGGAAATTTATCTTACCTGCAGGCATTTCAATGATTTTTCATAGGACGCAACTCATAAAATTTCTTGTGAAGACAATGGTCATGGAGGAAACAAACTGATGTATTTGGAAGAAATCATATTCCATGAATGGAAACTCGATAATAGTAATGATAATGATAATGTTAAGTATTTAACGAACTGCAACTTTACAAAATTAACCCTAAGTATTCTATAGAAATATTGCTAATTTTACGTAGAATACTGGTATATTGTTCACATGAACTCCTAATTTTCTCTTTGTTTTTTTATATATTTTGCAAGGTTGCAATTTTATTGTTTTTATGATTAATAGATTAGTTTCACATATGAATTCTTTAGTATAATTTACCAACTTATTTCTTGTATCATAATTTCTAACTAAAGTCATAAATTGTTTATTATTATTAATCTTTTCTTCTTTACTTAAATGCATATTCTTGACATATATCTTTATAAATGCTTTTATTAGAAAATATTTTCATATTTATAATGTATATAGATGCTTTAACGTATAAAGGGAGAAAACTACCAAAAAATTTTTTTGAGTTAATATTAAATTTGAATTTATTTTATTAAAAAAATAAGATTTATTTTATAAAGTAAAAAAAATATTCTTTGATGGTTTTCTCACTTTTTATTACAAAGTGTTCACATATTCATAATATAGTTCAGATAAAATATTTGAATAATATTTATTATAACCAGAAAGACTAATAACCAAAAAATTCAATACATGTATTAGATTAAGAAAGTGTTTACCTTATTTTTATATAATAAGAGAAAGAAAATTATTATTTAAAAATAAAAGTTTATAAAGTATAGGTAGCTTATAGTGATTTATAATAGTTCTAATCATCATATTTTCATAAATCAAAAGAATATTTACAAATTTATGAGTGATGATTAATCTAATTCTATACTTCTTTTTCTATATTTTAAATATAATATAATCATGTTTTTTAATAAATATGAATTTGATTACAATTCTAAAACTCATAAAGATGCTTTCTAATATATTTAAAGTTTTTATATGCAAGTTCTTCATCAATTATAAAAATTTGTTCATTTACATTATTAAGATAATTTATATAATTAAAAGCATTTAATACAATACTTACAAGTTTATCAAATGATAATAACATATTTCATTTTACTAAATTATATATATTATTCTAATGCATGTGTTCATATTATAACATAGTCTAAATTAAAATAAGTATATATTTAAAATATTAGTAAAAAATTAAGAATTTTTGTTAAATTTATTATCTATTAATAGATATCAAATAAATTTTACTGAAATTTTATTATATGTAAATTCATAATAAATCTTTTTTTTATAATTATTATAAAATTAACTATATATTTTACATAATATATCTAAAAAAATATTTAGGCAAATATAAATTCATAACTTTCTAGACTGTAAGGAATTATTTGTATTATTAAGATCAATTAACAAATAAACAAATAGTATTAATTTATGTTTAGAGTCTATTAAAAGTCATTATTAAGAATTAATATAAACTTATTTAATGTTTTTATTATTTTAATTTATTTTATCAATAGTAATAATACTTAATGAAACCTAATAATAATTTTAAAAATATTAATAATAAAAATTTTTTATTATATTATATAAAACATTTTTAAATTTATAATTAAAATTATTTATAAAAATAAAAAATTTAATTTTAAAAAAATTTTTACAAAAATCAGAATAAATGTAATATATAATTTAAATAATTAAAATAATCTAATTGATAATTATTATGTTTAATCATTAAATTATTAATTTTTAAAGTCAAATTAGTAAAATACTACTCTTCAAATTAAATAGTTTTAAGAGTAGTATTCTACTTAAGTTAAATTATGATTACTATTCTATAATCTAGGTAATATTAATATATTTGATTATTACTTTATAATTTGAGTAGTACAAATATAAACTGGTTACTACTTGATAACTTAGATAATACATAAATAAACTGTTACTATTTTATAATTTGAGTAATATAGATATAAATAATTAATTACTTTATAATTTA